AAGTCATAATAAAAGGTTCTCTATTATGAAAAGACGGTTCCCGCACTCCACTCAAATAGTGCATAGATACTTCCATCAAGTGTTAGCTGTTATGATGGAATTTGCACAAGAAATGATCCACCCAACTACATTTAACCCAAACCCAAACATCCCAGGGCACCACAAACAACTCTAACAAGTATTCAAGGTAAATAATTGACAATTTCACAGGGGTTTCATAATTTTGATTAGGATAGGGGTTGAGTTCAAAACAAATTTTATTTATTTGCTTTCATTTGTTGTTGAAGGGTGCTATTGGTGCTTTAGATGGAACACTTGTTCATGTTGTGGTACCACTGGAGAAACAACTAGCATATCAAGGAAGAGGAGGGAAAGAATGTTTCAAAAATGTGCTAACTGTTTGTGATTTTAACATGGTGTTTACATATGTTTATGCCGATTAGGAAAGAACGACACATGACACTAGGGTTTTACATGAGGTTGCACACAATCTTAACAACTTTTCGTTTCCAGTAGCTTGTGAGAATGGTGTTCTATGGGTGTTCATTCTTTTTGGTAATTTCATTTTTTTTAATAGATAAATTTGATTGACACAGACAAGTACTACCTATGCGATGTTGCATACGCTAATACAAGATACTTTATGGCATCAAAATGTACGATATTGGGCAGTAGACTTTCAGCGTGTGCATGCTAGAACTAAAACAAAACAATTTAACCAAGCACATGCAAAGCTTAAAATGTAATTGGGAGATCATTTAGTAAATTGAAAGCTCAGTTTCCAATTCTTAAATGGATGACACCTTTCAATTTCCATGTCTAATGGGACATAGTCGTTGCATGCTTTGCTACTCGCAGCTATCTAAGAAGGGAATCAATAGTTGATACCCTTTTTAATGACTACGTTGAACTTAATATGCAAGTGATTAATGAAAATGTAGATGAATTAGAAACAAAAGAGCATGGCGATGGAGAAGAAATTGCACAAGAATTATTAGATAGGAACATGCATTGAATTAGTGATAGAGTTGCTTCTTTGTTTGTAGTGTACTATTATGGTTATGTACGTGAACACACTTTTTTTTTATGTAGGGAAAAATGGTTGTTAGGGGTTCTCCAATCATGTGCGCATGCGGGGCTGGCTTATGGCGGAACTTTACAAGGTTGGGACAAATGAAAATCGGGGAAAAGTTTTCTTATGTTGCCCACTGTGGGAAAAGCATACACACTTTTTATTGGGAGGATGAATTGATTACCAACCTAGTGATAGAGCTCAAGGAGTTCAATCAACCCACTTCATGGACATTAGAAACCTCAAATATCGCAACTTCTCAAGGAAGAGATAGCACTTGGATGTCGCGTGCATCTCTTATATGTAATGTCATCCAGTTTGTTATTATTGTYATTTTATTCTTTTTGTTTATTATTGTTGTGGTTGTTGTATAGGGTAGTTATGAGACATGAACATATGGCAATCACTTTAATATGTGTAAACTTATGGACAAGCATATGATATTCCTTGGAGAATTCAAACTTATGAATTTATCCTTAAAAAATATTAGGGCATCTTTCAATATAATTCAAAATGCCAAATTTACCCTTCTAGTCTTTCCTAGACCCATCGCTTTTAAAGAGTAAAGTTACTTTATTCTTTTCAATCTAACTCGGAGAAATTTTAATTAAAAGCAAAAAATTCTTTTGGGGGTATTTTAATAAATTTTCATATGAATTGATAGATATAAGGGTAAAATGGGTACTTTTGAGAAATTAAGGCATTTGTCCAATGTTTTCCATCTAAGACAATAACAAAAGGGAGGTAACTATAGTTTTTTTCTATACCATAATTGAGGTTTTTGTGAAAACGAAACCTTTAGGGAGGTTTTTATATTTTACCCAAATAAAAAATGGGTAATACCATACTGCCACACATTACTTTGGGTGTAATGACAATTAGCATTCAAACTTTTATTTATCATAAATACCCATTCTGAACTTTCACGTTCAATCACTTTGCCCCCACCCTTAGCATTATGTTAGTTAACTTTATTGTCCAAAACATTTCAAAAACCTCAAGTTACCCTTATAATCTTTGGGATTTTTGTACTGCAATCCCCCTTAGAAATCTGATTTGCAAGCCCCTCCTAGTCTACTAGTAAGCCCCCCTATAAACCGCATCCTTCTCGTGGATTTGGCATCAATCCATAATTAGGATTTAGTCCACCCATAGAGTGGAGCTCTAGATTTCTAGGGGTGGACTGAACTGTAAAAACCCCTTTATCTTTTCATGAGAACATTTTAAAGAAAATTGATAAAATACAATAAAAATGAAAATAAAAGAAAAATAATAAATTATAGAAGGGTAAATTTCTTAAACTACCCTTACGGTTTAGCTAATTGACTGAGTGTACCTTTACTATTTGATAATTGATTGACACTACCCTTACTATTTCTGACAATTGACTAACTTTACCCTTACTTCTGTTAACATCCTTTAATATTCCATCAAAACTCCTACACACTTGACATATAATTTTTTTAAAACCCAATTTTACCCTTATTGTCTTGAGAAGCAAAACAAAGCAAATCAGTCCTTAGCCAATAGTGGTGATTGCCCACTCCACCTCTAGCCCCTTCATTCGAGTTGCATTGACGACGACAAAACAACGGTGTATCATGAAGAAGTGGCAGACTCTAAATCATCCAAATATTCCCCAGAATAATCTTCACATGCTTGCAAGATTCTTCAGAGGAGATTTTATTGGTCTTCGATGGTTGTTTGGATTGGCAATCACTCTGGCAAGGGCAGTTCTTTCCCGTCAGAACATAGTATCCGATTGGAGAATCCATTCAAGGCCGTGAAGTCAGTGTAGTTTTTGATAACCATAGAACCGATGTTCAATACACCATGGAATCTACCGGAGGAGGGGTGACAAAGCCGTGGAATCTGCTAGAGGAGGGGCGGTGAATTTGGAGAGCGGAGGAGGGAACGCTGGAGGAGAGGTATTTGCAATGAGAAAACAGATGGTACCGATGAGAGAATCTTTCAGGTAGCCGACAACGTAACTTTGCATGCGCCGGAGGTTAGTAGTGGGCTAATAGACCCAAAAGGTCTTTGCGTGTTCCTAAGAAGAATCCCAAGTTCCTGGATTGACTTGGTGGTGGGTGTTGAATCCAACAAAAGATAAATGTCCTGCTCAAATTAAATATTTGTATATAGTGATGAGCAAGGTCGTCTCCACAGGGATTGGGTGGATTTATTTTCAAGTAAATGAAGTAGGGGGGTTGTAAAGATAAGGAAAATAAGATGAAATAAAAGAAAACAATAGAAAGCAAGGATCAAATCGATGGGAGATAGCTTCTGGTTGAAGGGGCATGTTCAGYTTTGACTCTTATCATTGATCATCGATGCAAGGATAAATTCATATGTTTATGAATAAATTGGTTATAGCCATTAACAAGCTCTAACAACCAACCTCTACTCRTATTATTCGGAAACCAAAGCAAGTTCTTTGATTGCTTCTCTTATTAATAGACAGTCCTAAACAATCTCTTAGGATTTAATCTATTAATAGCATTAAGAGGGGAGAGACCCAATTCTGGTCTACGATCTCACAAGATCGGACCGTTTAAACCAGATCATATATCTTCCTAACATAAATAAAAAATTTTTATATAATCAATTATGTTAGTTGCCACCATGATTAAACATACCAATCATATACGAAATTGGAGGTTCAATCGGCCATAGATTATTCTTGTTGAATGAGTAAGGGCGTCTTCTTGCTTAATCAATATAAATAATCTTCACAGGAAATCGTAGAAAACATATGAATACCCATAAACAATGAACTGAAATAAAAATCAATTAGATCTCACAATGTTTATAGAATCAAAGCTTCCCTAACCTTTCAACTAGAAAATAAAACCTTACACACACTTCATGATGAAATCGTAGCTTCCAGATGAGAGGGGGCGAACTCTGCTTCTT